TAAATAATAATAAAGACTGTCACCATTTATTCATCCTTTATAGTTGTAAAACCTTTACAGGCGTTCTGTTATTATTTCTATCTGTAATCAGGCAGAAAACTTTAACTTTAACTGATTAATTAAACTAAAGGTTACTCTCCCCAACATGTCAATCAATGAAGTTTTCTGGATAATATAAGAACCTGTAAAACGGCCTAAAAAGGCAAAATTTACCAAACTGGGATTAAAAAAATTAAAAATTAAAATATTCAGAGGAAATATAGAAAGAATAGAGAAAACCTTTCAGACGAAAGGAAGCGATTCACATCCTGACTGATGGATGCAGGGAAATGGTTCCCGCCGTCAGCCACCATCTTCCTCAGGGCATCCAGCCCTCTGAGCCCCCGTAGCTAACGCTGGAGCTAACGCTGGAGCTAACGCTCCACCGGTGGGGGGGTGGGGGGTGGAGGAGAAGGTGAACTCCAGGTAAGAAGCTGACTGCTGCACAGCCTGTAAGGTTTGGTTTCATGGTCTTCCTCCCTCTTGGTGGTCTTCCTCCCTCTTGGTGGTCTTCCTCCCTCTTGGTGGCCTTCCTGCCTCTTCGTGGTCTTCCTCACTCTTGGTGGTCTTCCTCCCTCTTAGTGGTCTTCCTCACTCTTGGTGGTCTTCCTCACTCTTCGTGGTCTTCCTCCCTCTTCGTGGTCTTCCTCCCTCTTCGTGGTCTTCCTGCCTCTTCGTGGTCTTCCTCCCTCTTCGTGGTCTTCCTCCCTCTTGGTGGTCTTCGTCCCTCTTCGTGGTCTTCCTGCCTCTTCGTGGTCTTCCTGCCTCTTTGTGGTCTTCCTGCCTCTTCGTGGTCTTCCTGCCTCTTCTTGGTCTTCCTCCCTCTTCTTGGTCTTCCTCCCTCTTTGTGGTCTTCCTCATCCTTGGTGGTCTTCCTCCCTCTTGGTGGTCTTCCTCCCTCTCGGTGGTCTTGGTTATTCTCTCTCTGGCTTTGATCGGTGGGTGTTGGTCTTTGATCGCTGGCAGCCGATGTTTCTCTCCTTCTGTTTGGGGTTAACTGTTCAGATGGAGATCTTTCTTGCTCTCCTGAGGTGGTAAAGTTCTCCACCTCGTGGCTCCTCCTCTTCTCCTGCTTCCTCTGCCGCTGTCGGACATCTTGGCTCTGAGCTTCTCTTTCTGTCTCCAGAATTGGCCGGTTGTCTTATCTTTGCCTTACCTTCTGCCAGTGCACCTTCTGATGAACTTTACAGAAGTCTCCTTTTCTTGGCCTCTTATCACCGTTTGCTCTTCATGATATCCAGGCGGCACAGAGGAGGAGGTAGAGCAAGAGGAGCAGCGAGAATCTCTGGAGGATGACCAAGAAAATAAGTTCATGGTTGATGTTGAAGGACCTCCAAAGGAGCAGAAGACATCCTTACCCTCTGAGGTCCACAGTCACCTCCAAAGTGCTGCAGCCTCTAAAGCTAGCGTCATTGTCAGCCGTGACTTTCAGGAGATTCAGGAGTCTGAAGGAAATGTTCCCCAGACAGAGAAATGTGAGCAGGGTCACTCCAAAGGTCACCCAGAGGAACATGAAACCAACCCTTCAGAAGGTCAAGAAAGCATGGTGGACATCGGCGAGGGAGGCGATGCTCCACAGCCTCAGGAAACTCTTGGACAAGCTGTTACATCAGAACATCTGGCCGAGGAATACGTCCCGGTCGGATCAAACACAGAACCGTTACAAGAACCAGAGGAGCCCGAGAACCGGGAGGCTGAGGAAACGGCGGGTAAACCCCAGTCTCAGATTTCCACAACTTCAGCAAAAAAGAAGAAGAAGAAGAAAAAAGGAAAGAAGAAAGGAACTCATGAAAACAAAGACCAACAAAGACCTGGAACCGAGAAGGAAACGGGCCAAACAGATTCAGTGGTGTGTACCGACGGGCCCGCAGCAGAACCTGGATCTGTTGGGTCCATCTCTGAGTCTGGTCAGGGCAATCCAGAACCGGAACAAGTGGACGCTGCTAAATGCAGTGAAACTTTTTCTCTCAAGGAGAATCTGCACGAACCGAACCCAGATCATGACAACAAGGAAACTATGAATACCCAGAATCTAGAAGCTGAAGCTCTGGAACCAAGCAAGAAGCTCCTCAAAGAAACCAGAGCTGGGCATCATGAGGACCCAAAGGATGAGGAAAAACCTGCAGAACCAAAGAGTCTGGACTATGAGGCTCCAGACAATCTCACTGAAGGTTCTTCCCCTTTCAAGCACCATAAGGAATGTTCTAGAATAACCAGTCATGATCCAGAGGGCAGTCTTCTAATGTCTAAGGACAGCAGGTCACCTTTGAATGAAGATGCCTCCATCAGAGAGGACATCCCAGGAGTCCCGCAATCAAGCCCAGATCAGTTCTCGGATGAGGAGGAACAAGGAGATGCTCTGGGACCTTCAGAAACATCTGGTCTCACTGAGACAAGGTTGGAGCTTTCAGAAGATGAACAGAGTCAGGGAAGATCTAGAGAAGCAGACAAACCGGAACCCAAGGAACCGACTAAAGGATTCCTCCAAGATGATCAAGTTGCGGAATCTGTACCAGAGTCCAGAATGGTTGGAGACGATGGCAGAGTCACTGCAGAAGAGGATGTTGCCATAGAAACCCCTGATACTTCTAATGAAACCAGAGTAGATCTTCTTAAGATGGCCCAGAGCCATGAAGAAAAACCTGATTCAGTAACGGAAATCCTGAAATGTTCCTCAGAAGTTGGATCAATGAGTGAACCTGGTGAGGCTGACCCTAACCCTATGGGTGAAGAAGATTTGAAGCCATCAGATGAAAAAGAGACGGAACCTCCAACCAGTCCTGATGCAGAAGGAAACCCCCAGAAATCTGGTGGCATTCCTGATTCTCCGAGTGGAGAAGACTCGTCACGAGGCACGAGTGTGAAAAACATCCACAGCGAGTTGGAACCAGTGGATGGAGATGAAACGATGACTACCAACCCTGAAGGTATCTCAGAGTCCTTTAGAGAAGAAGATGGTGTCCCTGAAACACGCGTTCCTGAAGGTGATGAAGTTCCTGCTGAGTCAGAATCTACTGATGGTTCCAAGACTGACCAGGATGAGGACTCCAAAGATGAGCCCATAGACTCATCAGCTGGGAACATCTGCAGCCCCTCCAGGAAGGAACCCAGAGAGGGTCCTGAGGAGGCATCTGAGCCAGACCATGGAGAACCAAAGACCTCTGGAGATGATGATCCACAGATGGAAGAAGGCAGTGCAGAGAACCAAGAGTTGAATGAAGAACCAGAAGATCCGCGGGAAGAAGGCAGAGAAGAGGCAGAGGGTGTAGATCTAACTAAAACAGATGCTGAGGCCGCTTCTACTAGGCCTCCTAAAGAGGACCAGACAGAGTTCTCAGAGGAGTTGAAAGGTTCTCCTGCACATCCAGAACCAGAAGATAATCCCAACAACAATGAAATCAAACCCTCACCATGTCCTCCAGTAGAGCAGATCAATAAGTCAGTAGGAAAACCTGAAAGTGGCGCTTCATCTCCACTCGCTCATCTGAACAGCGAGGAGGAGGAGGAGGAGGAAGATGAGGGACAGTCTTTTGATTTCGATGACTCAGACTTAGAAGCAGCTGTTGCATCTGCTCAATCCAACCAACCTGAACCAGCAGATGTTGAGGAGCAAACTACGGCCAAAGAGGGTGAAGTCAACGGGAACGGTCCGGAGCTTTTCCAAACTACGGTGGAAACTAACGGAAGAGATGATGAGAAGTTTCCTGAGGAGGACGCTAAGGAGGCCATTCTATTGGAAGAAGGAGCAGAACCTCAGAACTCTCCTCGGCGTGGAGACGATATACCTGAAACCCTGGAAGATGTTACAGAGTGCATCCAGCAGGAGGCGTCCTCTGCAGTAGAGCTGGGAGTGGACGCAGCGGAGCTGACTACGGATTCAGGAAAGCTTCCAGAACAATCCGTCCAGTCAGGGAAGGATTCCAAGAAGAAGAAGGGCAAAGGAAAGGGCAAGGAGGACTGTAAGATGGCTTAGTCAGAAAATACCGGGGGGGGGGCTTCCTTCAGCATGGACAGCATCATTGCGGGGCGGGTCGGGGGGGCGGCAGCAGCTGCTGGACTTTAAATAATAATAATAATAATGGAACTAAATGAATCTCTCGCTCATCCAAGACCTCCCTGCTCCTTCCACATTAAATTCCCTGGTTGGCCTCCTCTGGTCTGCATGTGGGCCAAATCCAGCCAGAACCGGACCATCAACAGGTCCGAGTCAGTATCTCTGGACGTCTTCGAACCAACAGGTTTCTGGTGACTCCTGGACATCAGCGGTTTGGACCGGTACCGCCGTCCTCCATTGGTTCTGCAGCACCACTGATGGACTATCACTGTTTTTATGCAGCTCTTAAATGTTCTCTATCTTTGTAACACAAACGGTGTTTTTCTGGTCAATGCTTCTTCCAAAGCAGCTTTTAAAGGTTTTATCTGTCAGAACCAGGATGAGGTTTGGACTCTACCGGGTCCCATCAGAATGTTTTTAAACATCTTTGCATCTTGTTGCACTAAAACGGTTGAATCCTGCTGTTTGAAACCCAGATCTAAATAAACCTGGAATGAAGACGCTGTGTCTCTGTGGACGTGGTTTGTGGGCATGGGGTGTCTCCGTGGACACAATGTGTCTATATGGGCGCGGTGTTTGTGGACGGTCAGTATTTCTGTGGACGCATTGTCTCTTTGGACATGTTGTCTCTGTGGACGCCTAGTGTCTCTGGGCGCCTAGTGTCTCTGTGGGCGCGGCATCTTTGTAGGCGCGGCATGTCTCTGTACGCACCTATTGTCTCTGGGCGTCTAGTGTCACTGCAGGCACGGTGTCTCTGTGGATGCCTAGTGTCTTTTTGGGCGCCTAGTGTCTCTGTGGGCGTAGCGTCTCTGTGGACTCCTATGGTTTCTGCAGGCACGGTGTCTCTGTGGACGCCTAGTGACTCTTTGGGCGCCTGGTGTCTCTGTGGACACCTAGTGTCTCTGGACGCCTAGCGTTTCGGTGGACGCCTAGTGTCTCTTTGGGCGCCTAGTGTCTCGGTGGACGCCTAGTGTCTCGGTGGACGCCCAGTGTTTCTGTGGACGCCTAGTGTCTCTGTGGACGCCTAGTGTCTCTGGATGCCTAGCTTTTTGGTGGGCGCCTAGTGTCTCGGACGCCTAGTGTCTTGGTGGACGCCTAGTGTCTCTTTGGGCGCCTAGTGTCTCTTTGGGCGCCTAGTGTCTCGGTGGACGCCCAGTGTTTCTGTGGGCGCCTAGTGTCTCTGTGGACGCCTAGTGTCTCTGGATGCCTAGCTTTTTGGTGGGTGCCTAGCGTCCGGTGGACGCCTAGTGTCTCTTTGGGCGCCTAGTGTCTCTTTGGGCGCCTAGTGTCTCGGTGGACGCCTAGTGTCTCTGTGGACGCCTAGCGTTTCAGTGGGTGTCTAGTGTCTCTTTGGGCGCCTAGTGTCTCTGTGGGCACCTAGTGTCTCTGTGGACGCCTAGTGTCTCTTTGAGCGCCTAGCGTCTCTTTGGGCGCCTAGCGTCTCTTTGGGCGCCTAGTGTCTCTGTGGACGCCTAGTGTCTCTGGACGCCTAGTGTCTCTGTGAACGCCTAGTGTCTCTGGACGCCTAGTGTTTCTGGACGCCTAGTGTCTCTGTGGATGCCTAGTGTCTCTGTGGACGCCTAGTGTCTCTGTGGACGCCTAATGTCTCTGGATGCCTAGCGTTTCGGTGGGCGCCTAGTGTCTCTGTGGGCCCCTAGTGTCTCTGTGAACACCTAGTGTCTCTGGACGCCTAGTGGCTCTGTGGGCATGACGTCTCTGTGGACGCCTAGTGTCTCTGTGGACGCCTAGTGTCTCTGTGGACGCCTAGTGGCTTTGTGGGCATGGCGTCTCTGTGGACGCCTAGTGTCTCTGTGGACGCGGGGTGTTTAGAGTTTATTTCTAAATGCATACTTCAAAGAAATGTTCCTGGTACAGGTAGCTAACAAGCTAGCTGCTAACAGTAGCATGGCTGCTAATGGCTTGCTAACCAGCAAACCTTAGCTAAGAATCAGCTAACTGTAGCTCTATCTTTTACATAAAGCAGCGCATGAGA